GATAAAATGTTTTCTAAATCATTTCACAACTTGATTTGTTAATCCATAAACTGAGCTGAACTGAAAAATGTCTCATGCGTCGCCTCTCTGTCCTGTTTTCACACAAACTGTTTTCCTGTTTGTTTACAAACTAAATATTTCTACATATTTGGTGCTATTTTTGATTCAGTTCAATTCAGTTTATTTATCAAATCACAACAAAGTTGTCTCAGGGCACTTTACAGGAACATTCACATAAAAGCCAATTAGTAAAGTTCTCTATCTAAGGAATCCAGCAGACAAGTTGAATCTTGGCTTCGTCTCCCATCCTGAATCCTATTTTAGTTATTTATACATCAGCTCATTCAGAAAACGGTGCCGTGGTTTTTTATTTTTTTTTATTTTTTAAGGTTTTTAAATCTTTACAAATATTTTCAACATATAGATAACTTTTCAATTCCTTCAAGAAAATTGTTCTATTTAAAAAATCTGCTTCAGCATACATGCTATGCATTTGTCTTCTTATGCTACTTTTAGCTAAAGTGCTAATACTTTTAGCTAGTGTTTGCTACCATTTTACTTCTTTTAATTTGTTTTATCTATTATTCTATTTCTTTTAGCAAATGTGCTTTTTATAGCTTTTACCCAGCACCATGCTTCTTTTAGGTTATAGCAAGTGTTCATTTTGTTAGCTTTTAGCTAGTGTTGTGCTTCTTATATCTTAGCTAGTGTTGTTTCTTTTAGCTAGTTTTCTGATTATTTAACTTTTAGCTAGTGTTCTGCTATTTTGTTAGCTTTTGGCTCGTTTTCTATTTCGTCTAGTTTTTATTTGCTAGTATTGTGCTTCTTATTTCTTTTAGCTTCTGCTTCTTTTAGCTAGTTTTCTATGTCATTAACTTTTAGCTAGTGTTGTTTCCTATAACTTTTAGCAACTGTTCTGCTTCTTTTAGCTAGTGTACTTTTTTGCTTTTGGCTTGTGTTTCTTAACATGAACAGAAAGTTCAATAAAGTTTCTATAAAACTCTATTTGGGCTTTGCTGTCCTAAATAAAAACTAGCCGTGTTCATGCCGAGTGCTAACAGACTAATTTGCTCAAGAAGCTGAAAATGACTTGGCAAAGCTAAAAGAAAGCTACTAGCTAAAAGCTAAAACAAAGAGCACAGTGTTAGAGACAGTTGAAAGAATATTCTGGACTCTGGGAGCAGTCGGTCTACTCTGAACCACAGTTATGCAGCTGCTGGGCCGTGGCTTCACTCGTCTGGAAGCCGTTGAAGTCTTCTCCAGATGTGGCAGATGTGGCTGTGTGATTTTGGTAATGACACGCTGGCGCAGGCAGAAATGGAATTTGGAAAGAACACAAACGAGTCCTTGAGAGACGCGCAGACAAAAAGTTTTTGCATTTACTTCTAAATTGAATTAGAAAACGTTGATTTTGAGACTTTTTAGAGAAATGCACGATCGTGTTTAGTTTGGCCCTCAAAACTTTTTCAGCTCCTTCATCAAATATATAAATCTGGAAGAAAAAATGTGAATATCAAATGTAGCCATCTTAAACTGTTATTTCCTGTTAGAGCTCAGGTTTTCAGTCCAACTGTAAAGCAGGAAGTTCTTCATGAAGACTGTTGTTTTCACATTTTGTTAGCAAAATATCATTTGATCATCCTCCAGAGAGAACAGCCGCAGGAAAATACAGACGCGTTGTGGAAGCCTAGAAACAACTTTTGTGGGTTCTTGTTGGAGCACCTGTGTTTTTATGAAGAAGAGCCATTCAAGATGGCTGCCACAGCTAAAAACACAGAAATGACTATAACTCGGTCATTTTTATAGATACTGACCTAGAATTTGGAGTGGTAGTAGCTGAGACTGAGACAAAAGTTAGATGTTGAGCACTAACCATTGCACGGGAGCTTTGATTCAAAACAGGTATTAACTGGAGTTTGTCTGTGAAATAACTCAAACCACATATTTCATGAAACTTCCAGGAAACAATCAGAGGATGTACAACTACAAGTAACTTTTCGTTCGGGGTGTTCCGCCACAGAAAGGCGGGTCCTGAGCCGAGCTGTTATGTAACCAGAGCTTCATCCTCACATTTGGGTCGGTTCTGTTGAGTCTGCAGAACGGAAATCATATTTTTGGCATCAGAAAGTGTTTTCTAGCTAAACATTTGCCATCAGATTGAGTCATGGTTCACACCCGACCCTAAAGACAAAGATCAGTTTTTGTTTGGGTGATGAGACGTGTCGCGCGCCGGGAAGAGGGACTTGGACCAGCCAGACGCACGTGATGGGCTCCGGAACAAGCAGAGGGAAGAAAGTGGCACCTGAGTGTGTCAGTGAGGTCAATGGGACCGAACCAGGAGCTGCTGCCAAGCAGGACAGAGGTCCGTTCACGCGCCTCAAGCTCCTCTCCGCTGTGCGTAACGCGCACCCGGACAGAGACTCGGACTTGTCAGAGGCTGACACGGTTCTGGCGGATGATGTGGACCCAGGAACAGAATGTGATCAGAAAAATCCTCCAAAAAGAGCTTTCATCTGGTCCAAATCATACGCGCTGTGTCTCATCAGGGAGGAGGACGCAGAGGAGGAGGACAGCTCCGCTGCACGTGTTGCGCGCGCTGCGGACGTAAACAAGAGGAACACGCATGCCTTCACGCACTCAATGCGACACAGGCCTGAGGGACTAACCCAGCACAGTGTAAGACTTCTGTTTGGTTCATGTCTTTTAGGAATTCATTCATCTTGTTCTGCAAGTTACAGAAAATCAAGACAAGTTGGTTTGAAACAAAAAACTGATCTAAAAGTTTAGTCAGGTCCTCTAGTCTGGATGGGTTCAAAAATTTTTAAAAAATGTAGAAACGTTTCATCTTTCATCCGAAAAACTTCTTCAGTTTGAGGTCTCACTTTCTGATGGAAGACATTTGCAAATTGAGGTGTACCACAAACCCACCCACACAGACCAGTATTTGCAGTTTGACTCCCATCACCCTTTGGAGCACAAGTTAGGAGTCATCAGGACTCTGTACCACAGAGCAGACAGCATCCCCACTAGCTCAGGAGCCAGGCAGAAGGAGAAATCCTACACAAAACAGGCTCTAGAGCAATGTGGATATCCTAACTGGGCCTTCCAGAAAGAAGAAACCCAAACAGGACTCCAGTCAGCCATCAGGTGAAAAGGAGGAACCCAGACCCAGACCAGTGGTCATTCCATATGTTGAGGGAGTATCAGAGAAACTGAGACGTTTATTTTCTAAACATAACGTCCCAGTGGCTTTTAAACCCCAAAATACATTACTGCAAAGATTGGTTCATCCCAAAGATCCAGTCCCCCGGCACAAACAGAGTAATGTTGTGTATGCTGTTCAGTGTCAGGAGGGTGATCAGTCTTACATCGGGGAAACAAAACAGCCACTGGCCAAAAGGATGGCCCAGCACAGAAGATCAACATCATCAGGTCAGGACTCTGCGGTCTACACTCATCTCCAGGCCAGCGGTCACTCTTTCAGGGATGAAGATGTTCACATCCTGGACAGAGAGGAACGATGGTTTGAGAGAGGAGTAAAGGAGGCCATCTTTGTGAAAAGAAATCGTCCATCATTAAACAGGGGTGGAGGCCTCCGGGTTCAACTGTCCCCCTCTTACAATGCTGTGATTGCTAGTATCACTCAGCCCTCTGTGAATAGTAAACAGCCATCAGGTGCTAATGATCCATTGTTAGGCTGATGGTCCTTCTTGAGCATGTGAACAGCTGGTTCTGGATGTCAACAACAAACTGGTTGATCCACTCTGAGAAGGTGCTATTTATAAGACCGAGTTTGTTGCAGCTCCTCAGACTGAGGAAGTCTCGGATAAAAGATGAAACGTTTCAACAATTTATTATTTTGAACCTGTCCAGAGGACCTGACTTAACTTTTTTAGATTTGTTCCACTTGGATTATTGAGCAGCATCAGGAAAACTAACACCTCTTCACTTCTGCCCCTCAGTCCTCCTCACAGAAGAGTTTGGAAAGAGGCAGCTTGTTAGAAAACGTACCCACGACGGAAAAACAACGGTAAGTGGACAGCTCCCATGAATGATTCATTTCTTTATTCAGTGGATTTGAAAAAAAAATGTGCCCAGATCAAGTTCACCTTAAAGGGCTTGAAAGAGTTGTGAGGGAGCAGATCAGCTCCACGTGACGAGTCTTTGCGTTTAATCCTCTTTCTGCAGAACGTCTGACAGCTGCCTCAGCTCTCCGGTCACCATGCCGCCCCTTCTGTACGACGGGTCAGAGGAGGAGCTGATGGACACTATTGAGAGAGAGTTTAGCTGACAGCACGGCTCACAACAAGAACCAGGTTTCTGCAGGTTTCTGGTAAAGCTGCAGCTTTGGAGCCCAACAGAACCCAGATCAGATGTGCTGTCCTGAGCAGGAGTGGGAACTGAAACGCCTCCTTGGTTTGTTTCATCCCAGTATTCCTGCTGGGCTGCATCTCATTAATTACGTTGTTGTAACCTGTTCTTTAACAAGAAACTGGAGTTTTCTGTCTGCTCCAGCTCAGATGTTCTGGATTGAGCAGAAGCCCGGGTCGTTCCGTTCAGATGGGTGTAATGTGACGATAAACACTTCTTGAACTGGGTTTAAAACTTTCCAAAGCTTTGAGGAGTTTCTTTGGGGGTTTCTTGCTGCAGAATAAAAGAATGTGGCACTCTGGATCAGACCAACACAGCTGCTCTCATGTTGACTCGACCCGGCTGCTGCCGCTCGAGCTCAGGAGGTGTTTTTGTTGCTTTTGTCCAAAACAGGCGCTGCTCAGAAATAAAGCAGCAGAGTTGTGTGTGTGTGCAGTAAATTAAAGGTTCGATGGTTGTGTGTTTACAGCAGGTCCAAAGAGAATCAACCTCACACAGAACTTTTCCACTAGCTTATTTATTTGAATCACTTATTTTACGAATACTTTGTTAGGCAGACTTTACAAAATAAAATGTATATTTGTAAAAAATATGAAATAAAAGCAACTTAAAAATAGTGTAGTAGCTCAGTGTATATTACAAATTAAAATGGTTAAACCCTGGTTAGAAAAGTAAAATATGGCACTTCTTTGTTTCATTGTAGATGTTCAACTGATGCTTTGCTTCTTTGAAGGTCGGTAGAAACATGTTCGCCTCTGGACAGCTTTCAGAAGTTTGGGAGGTAGAAGAGGAAGCTGATTTCTGAGCATCTCTGAGTTTCTCACATTCTTTGCAACGTAATCCTCACAAATCCTGCAAGACAGAACAATGTTTTAAAAATTCTGTCAACTTACACTGTTCATTTTGGGAGAGGCATTTTAAGTGACATGATCTGAATTAAAATTAAATAAAAACTGTATTGACTGCTTTACTATTAAAGCAGCACACTTATAAATATTTATATACTTTTTCTTGACAAGTTAGAGCAGGGGTGGCCAGATGTTTCCATCATGGAGCTCTTTTGAAAATGACCAAGTCAAAGTGATTTACCCCGTTTACACAACAACAACTTCTGGAAACTTTAGTGGTTTTTCAATGTTTATTGGGGGTAATGAACAAAAAATATCAAATGAGTAGGTTTACATGAAAACACTGTAGCTTCAATGTCAGTCGGGTTGCCAGATAAGAAATGATGAACTATAGTAAGGCTTTAAAATGATAGTATTTTGACCTAAACTGTCATATGTGCCAAGTAAATATATTCTAAGATGAGGTGTGTTGTGTTCAGGGGCGGCTGGCCATAGAGAGGTTCAGGAGGATTCCTGAACGGCCAGTCAGTTCCAGGCCAAACTGGCCGGTGGTCATCGGTACTTAAAAAGAAAAATTTAATTTAAAAATGCTGCTGCGTCCTCGTGTAGCAGCCTACACGGTTGAAGGTGGCAGTCAAATGTCAACATGAGAGCAGCCCCTCCCAATGTGAAAAAGAAAAAGAAAGAAAGGAGAAAGATGGGTGGAGTAGAAAAACTAAAGAAAAGGAAAAAGTGCAAGATGCAGCCAAATGCGCTAAAATAGCAGACATTTTCAGGGGGAGGGCCCAAAGTCACGTGACTAAAGTCAGCAGGACAGTGATAACAGGACTGAGCAGCTTGGAGACTGCAGGTTAACAAGCAGTGCATCATCTCAGAGTTGACAAACCCTTTCCAAAAAAATAGAATATCATGGAAAAGTTGTTTAACTTCCATAATTCCATTCAAAAAGTTAATCTTTAATAGATGATAGATTCAGGGCCCATAATTTAAACGATTTCAAGTATTTATTTGGTTATTTTGACATAATTTGGACTTCCAGCTCATGAAACCCACAAAAACAGAATTTCAAAAATTAGAACACTGTGGAGAAATCAGCCCAAATGTTGCAGGTCATGAATGTTTTAAACTGAGTGTGACACTAATCATCTACTAAACTCAAAGCACCTGCACAGGTTTCCCCAGGTGTCATTAAATTGCTTCAGTTTGGTTCAATATGGAGAAGACTGCAGACATAACTGACCAGAAGACCATCACTGATGCCCTCCATAGGATGGGTACGCCACAAAAGTTCATAGCTAAGGAGGCTGGCTGTTCACAGAGTGCTGTGTCCAAGCATATCAATGGAAAGTCTAGTGGAAGGGCAAAATGTGTCAGGAGAAGATGCACCAGCAACAGAGATGACTGTGGGCTTCAGTGGATTATCAAACAGAGAAGATTCCAGAATCTGGCAGAGATCCAGAAAGAGTGGAATGAGGCGGGAGTCACAGCTTCAAAAACCACCACATTCAGACACATCTGGGAGATGGACTACAACTGTCGGGTTCCTCTGTCCTCTTTTCAGATGAAAGTAAAGTGTGCCTTTCATTCGGAAATCAAGGTCCAAGGTTTGGAGGAAGAAGGGTGAGGAACAGAACCCATACTGCTTCAGGTCCAGTGTGAAATATCCACAGTCAGTCATGATGTGGGGTGCAATGTCTGGTACAGGTGTTGGTAAACTCTGCTTTCTTAAATCCAAGGTCACCACAACAGTCTACCAGAATGTTTTAGAGGACTTCATGATTCATTCTGCTGAGGATCTGTGTGGAAATGCAGATTTCATCTTCCAGCAGGACCTGGTCCCTGTCCATGCTGCCAGAAGCACCAAAACCTGGTTTGATGCCCATGTCACAGTGCTTGACTGGCCAGTCATCTGGCCAGACCTAAAGCCCATTGACAATCTATGGGGTATTCTCAAGAGGAACATGAGGGGCACCAGTATGGTGCTAAAAGAGTCTCAAACACCAGATCCAACAACAAAGAAGAGCTGACAGCAAGCTTCAAGGAAATCTGGGCTTCCATAACTCCCAGTCAATGCCACTGGCTGATTGCCTCAATGCCACGTCACATCGAAGCAGAGATTAAGGCAAACACATTCCCCACCAAGTATTGAAGATTGACATATCATTTTGAAAGTACCATATTTTGATTGATTTGTTGTGATCCTAATTTTTCTTTTTTCTGCAAAAACTGAGAAGTAGTGTGGACTGATGTCTTCACTGTATTCTAATTTTTTTGAAATCCTGTTTTTTTGGGTTTCATGAGCTGGAAGCCCAAATTATGTAAAAATAAACAAATGAATATTTGAAATCGTTTAAATTGTGGGCCCTGAATCTATCATCTATTAAAGATTAACTTTTTGAATGGAATTATGGAAGTTAAACAACTTTATCATGATATTCAAATTTTTTGGAAAGGGTCTGTACAGTGTGTTTGTGTTTCTGGATGTGTTCAACACAGAACACTAAAAGAGGTCACCTCAGTGTTGTTTCACCATTAGTCCATAAATCTTTAATCTGCATTACCAAATAAAATTTAAATAATCCACACTGACTGACCAGAAAAAGGCACAATTCTTTATTGCAAAAGAAAACATATTTCAGGGAAGAGTCTGTTTCCCTGTTCTGTTTCCACATTAATATACAGCTCAAGAAAAATACATTGCAGTGAGTGATTTATTTACTATGTGTGTGTGTGGTGCTTTGCTTATGTTGCATTTGTATTATTGTTATTAGTAGCTGAAAAGGCCAGTGTCAGTCGAGGAGTTGATGCAGAGGGACAGGATTCAATTCAGTTCAATACAAAATTCAAATTCAACTCAAAAATACTTTATTAATCCCAGAGGTAAATTAAATGTTGTTGTAACTCATCATCCTGGTTTCATTAGTGAGTTGTTCTAGATGCTGATGGCTGTGGGCAGGAAGGATCTCTTGTCTGTCTTACAGCAGCTCTGAAGAAACCTCTGACTGAAGACACTGTTGTTGTATGACAGTCTGATGAAGAGGACGCTGAGAGTTGTCTATAATGTTCTTCATTTTAAGAAGAATCCTTCCTTGAACAATTATTTCCAAAGGTTCTAGAGGAGTTCCCAGAACTGAGCCAGCCTTCTTTATGAGATTGTTGATCTTTTTTAAGTCACTTGCTCTGGTGCTGCTACCCCAGCAGATGATGGCAGAAGAGATAGCGCTCTCTGCAACAGACTTATAGAAGATATGCATCATCTTGCTACAAACACTGAAGGACTTCAGCTTCCTCAAGAAGTACAGTCTGCTCTGTCCCTTCTTGTAGATGCTTCACTGTTGCATTTCCAGTCCAGTCTGTTGTCCAGGTGAACCCCAAGGTATTTATACTTCTCCACCACCTCCACTTCTTCTGCCATGGTGGAAATATGGTTGGACATGCTTCTGTTTCTCCTAAAATCTACAATCATCTCCTTTGTTTTGTTCACGTTCAAGATGAGATGATTGTTTCCACACCATGTCACAAAGTGGTCCACCAGTTCCCTGTACTCAGCTTCTTGTCCATCTCTGATACACCTGACCACTGCAGAGTCATCTGAATAGTTCTGCAGATGACAGGAGTCTGTTTTGTACTGGAAATCTGAGGTGTACAGAGCGAAAAGGAATGGTGAGAGTACAGTTCCCTGAGGTGCTCCTGAGTTACTGACCCCCTGGTTAGACACACAACCCTTCAGTCTCACAAACTGTGGTCTGTTTGTCAGGTAGTCTTTGATCCAGGTGATTGTTGAGGCCTCCACCTGAGTCTTCTGGAGTTTCTGACAAAGCAAATCAGGTTGGATTGTGTTAAATGCACTGGATAAATCAAAGAACATGACTCTCAGTGCTGTCTGCCTTTTCTAGATGACAGTGAGTTTGCTGAAGCAGATGTATGATGGCATCTTCAACTACAAGTCCACGCTGATAAGCAAACTGCAGTGGGTCCTGATATGTGCTTGTTTGTTTAGTCAGGTGGGTCAGCAGAAGTCTCTGTAGGACCTTCATGATGTGGGATGTCAGGGCAACAGGTCTATGGTCATTGAGGACCGATGAGTGAGGTTTCTTTGGTACTGGAACAAGGCAGGATGTTTTCCACAACACTGGAACCTTCTCCTGGGTCAGGCTAAGGTTGAAGAGGTGCTGCAGAACCCCACAGAGTTGCTCTACACAGACTCTGGGACTGACACTATTTGGACCTGCAGCCTTATTCCGGTTCAGTCTCTTCAGCTGCTTCCTCACCTGACTTCTAGAGATGCAGAGGGGGGAGGCAAAGGAGGTATCAGCATCTTCTGATTTGGTTGAAGACAAACATGTAGAAAAAGAAGGGTCCATGACCAAGGTCAAGTCAAGTCACATTTATTTATATAGCACATTTAAAACAGTATAAGGATATATATATATATATATATATATATATATACTGTATAAGTAGAAGGAGTATAAGGATGAAGGAGGTCAGATAGGTATGAAAGTGCAAGGTCATTACCACACTTAAATGTCAGCAGAAGAATCTTAAAATCAACTCTGACATGCACAGAAAGCCAGTGAAGTGAGGACAGAACTGGAGTAATGTGCTAAAACTTGCAAGTTCCTGTTAGTAGCTGAGCTACAGCATTTTGGACAAGCTGGAGACGTGAGAGAGAGACCTGACTGACCCCAGCATAAAGCGAGTTACAGTAGTCCAGCTGGGTTGTAATAAATGCATGGACTAATTTTTAAAGGTCGGATCTGGACAGCACAGACTTGAGCTATCTCTATCTTTCAGCTATCTGCCTTAGCTGAAAGAAGCTTTTTTGAAGAACAGAGTTTATCTGCTTATTAAACTTAAAGTCTGAGTCTAAAACTATCCCGAGATCGGTAACAGACTGTTTTATGCCCCTTTTCCATTAGTACCGGTACGGGCCGACTCGACCCTACTTGGCCCGGTTCTGAGGCTTTTCCATTAGTACCGGTACTTAGCACCTGTTACTAT